TTATCCGTTATGAGACGGCCAGGGAGGAAAGCACTCTGTGGAGCCGAAATCACAGCATCTAAGACCTCTTTAAGCCGGTTAGCCACCATCTTCGAAAGGATCTTGTAGGTCACATTGCATAGAGCAATTGGCCTTAGATCACCCATATAAACTGGTGTTGTCTTCTTAGGGATTAAAGTAACAAAGGCATCATTCATACCTACAGGCCAAGGCTGTCCATTCAAGCAATCCAAGATAAACCGAGTCACATCACCACCAATTTCGTTCCAAAAGTGTTGTAAAAAAGCTGGGCTATAACCGTCGGGACCAGGTGATTTATCCGGGGCCATTGAAAATAAAGCATTTTTAACATCATCCATGGTGTACGGCCTGAGAAGTCTCTCATTATCTGCTGTTGTAATCTTCCTTGGCATACCCTCCAGCACTGCACAACTTACGTCACTTCCAGACGTAAAGATTTGAGTGTAATATCTGTCCACCAAGCCTAGCAAGCCATTGCCTTCGACCCAATCATCCATATCATTCTTCAACTTTTTAACAGTGTTTTTCCTTCTCCTAGCCGAAGCGTAGAGGTGGAAAAATTTTGTGTTTCTGTCTGCGTTAACTAACCAGAATTGTTTTGCTCTTTGTCGCCATATAATGTGTTGTTGTTCGAACAATTCATTCAACTGACTGTTCACTGTTCGAAACTGAGAGAGGCCATCCAGGTCGCGCCTGCTACGTAAATTGTTTAAGCAGGTCTGAAGATGATTTATTCTTTTATCAATTTGCTGCACCAAACTCCCACCCCAGCTCTTTAGTGATTCACCGCAATAGTCCAGCCGAACTGGTAGGTCGTCCCCAGCTGAATCATTCCACGCCTTCAACACGACATCCTTGCATCCCGAATCCTTTAACCAAGCATTTTCAAATAAGAAACGCCTTCTTTGTCTCCCCAAGCGCGGTCCCTCCACATCCACAAAAATCGCTGAATGGTCAGAGGTGATAACATTGTAATTTCGTACCTCAGCTTGCGGGAATAAAGTTCTCCAGTCAGCACTTGCTATTGCTCTGTCTAGCCTCTCCTCCACCCAACTATCAGTGCCTTGTCCACGTTGCCACGTAAATTGTCGACCTTTCATACCCATATCAAATAGCTGGCAGTCCTCCAAAGCAGTATTAAAACCATCGATCAAAGTCGGTGGATGGGGATGATGTCCCCTCTTTTCATTTGGGGATAAGATATCGTTGAAGTCCCCGCGACAAGCCAAGGGAGATCAGACTTTTGATGAAGTGTACGCAGTAAATCCCATGATTGTTGTCGCCTTCCTCTATCTGGGAACCCATAAAAACCGGTCATCCTCCAAGCTTCACTGCCAGGCAGCTTAACCTGGATGTCGATGTGGTTTTTAGAAAAGCTAATAAGATTAGCTACATCCTTATCTCTCCAAAGTAGTGCCAAACCACCCCTAGTACCCCCGCCATCCACAAAGAAAAGACCTTCATAATTTAATTTTCTTTGAAGCTGTTCTGCATGATTCTGTCGAACCTTTGTTTCCATAATAAAAATAAACATTGGCTTAGTTTTGGCTTCCAAGGCCAAAAGTTCCCGAATTGTACGCGGATTGCCAAGCCCACGACAGTTCCAGCAAAGGGTACTCATTGAAATTAATATATATTCAATATTAGTCTTGTTTCGATCGTCTCAATGAGATCTTTAAAATGGTATAATTTTTATTTAATTATACAAACTTTAAATATAAGCATTTAACAAAATAAAACATTACATATAAAACAAATAAATGATACATTTAGAATTATAAAAAGAAGTAAGGACAAAAGAGTCATTTTCCCCTCCATTTTAGATTTGCCGCGGATGAACAGTGCAGTCATGAACGCCAAACATTTTGGCGTTATGGCGCAATGAAATCTCCTCTTGGAGCACCCCAATTTGCATATTTGGTGTTTTGCAGTTTTGAAGTTCACATTGGAGATGCTCTTATATACTCTGATGATAGTGTGAGGTTTGATAGGAAGTAGGATTAAACTAAACCTGTTTAATATTGCAAGTAAAAGATTATATTACTATTATCCTATAAACACTTGTTATGTTGTATTTTTGTCAGACTTTATAGCATGTCATGACATATATCCATATTTGCAAGTGATTTTTTTTTTTTCTCTCTTTCAACTTTATTTGTTCACAAATTTTAAATATTTTATAAAGTTTATTAGATAGACTGATAGAGGCCACACAAACTAATAAGTATGTAAGTTTAAACTAGTATAAAAATATATACTCCGTATTTCACTTTTTAAATAGCGTGAAATATGTTGTTAAAAAACTTTTTTTCTTTCTAGGGCACTTTCATTTTTACTTGTACACATGCATATCAAGTATTTGTAATTTTTTTATTCATTTATTTTCTTTCTTAAAAAAAATACAATAATAATATTCTTGAGCAAATACCAATTTTGGTTCCATGAGTATTAGTAAAATGATGATTTTGGTCCACATGTTTAATTTTTTCCAATTTTCATCCACGACTATTGTTTTAGTACCAATTTTCATCCACAATTATTATTTTGGTACCAAAATTTATCACGCCGGTCACCCCTCCATTTAAGACATGACGAAATCTAAAACTTTGTAGGGCATTTTTGTCCTTTTCAACTTAAGATTCCAATTTAAGCATGAATAAAGTGATTTAAACTCTAAGATAGATCCCAATTCGCAGTTATCATCCTCATCCTACCTTAATTTGAAGAGGAAGACTGCAATTTGATATAGATCTTAGGATTTAAACCCATTTATTCATGCTCAAATTGATATTTTAATTTGAAAATGACAAAAATACCCTTAATAATTTCATATTTCGGCATGTCTTAAACGAAAGAGGTGACTGACGTGATAAATTTTGACACTAAAACAATAGTCATGGATGAAAATTAATACTAAAACAATAGTTGTGGATGAAAATTGATAAGAATTAAACATGTGTATCAAAATTGTCATTTTGCTAATACTCGTGAGACCACAATTGATATTTGCTCTAATATTCTTCTTTGAAAGTAACAGGTATCAATGTATCATTTTTCAATTATAATGGTTATTACCAACAATAAATATGGTATGGTAGGGGTCTATTGATATTTTGGTGTCATTCAAATTTGAATGGTTTTAGTTGTTGAAAAGCTACATACCATTAAAGACCATTTATCCTTGTATTTGTTTTTAATCCTTTTAATGCTAGTAATTAATGAACTCCACTTTAGCTTAATATTTGAAAACATGTCAAATTGTCAATGATAAATTTTAGCCGGGAGTTGATGATATAAGTTTGACTTTTTTTTTTTTTTTTTTGAATGCTACTAGCTCTATTACATTATAGTATCTGTTCATATACTTTCTCAACCTATTGAAACATAAAGAGCTAATAACGCCTCCACTGAGGCTTAAACTCACAACCTTCCTAATGGAAGTCCAACCCGGGTACCATTGGACCACATATAAGTTTAACTTAAATTGATTAAAATTTACTTTTTATGATATTTTAATAAATTAACATGCCATTTAATTTTTAATATTAATGTAAGAACCTTTAGTCATTAATTTGAATCTTATTAAGAAGAAATTATAGTAAATAAAAGCACGTGGTAGTACATTCCTTTTATTGTTGTAGGTCCTCCATTATTTGAGTGTAGCGTCTAATTACTATAAGAAAACATGTTATTGATTGTATCAATTGTATTGGAGATATTTACTGATTAATTGAATTTATTTATAATTTTAATACATGCATAATTATACAGAGAGATTAAACCTCAATTCAAAATATGAGTATAAATGAGCCGAGCCAAGCTCGAACTCAATCAACAATAGATAGGCTCGAGTTCGGCTCGAATATGAAACGAGCTGAAAGCTGAGCTTTGAGAGCGGCTCGGTTATATATATATATATATATATATATATATATATATATATGTCATGTGGGGGGCTCATGATCGGCTCGACGAGCCACGAGCCTAAAATATTTGAGCTCGATTACAAAATGAGCCGGCTCGAGCTCGAACAGAACTTTGACCGAGCGGCTCGACTCATTTATGCCCCTAGAAATTCAAACAAACTTTTGGGTGGGAACTAGATATTTGGTCTTGTAAAGTTAAGGCAATTATTAAAAATGGATGACTAAAATTAAAGAGGGCATTATTCCATTTATTTGTGTATCTTAAAGACAGTTGACCATTGTATGCTTTCCCCGGGCTTTTTGGTGGCAGTAAAAACTTCAACCATTCATCTCCTTTCATGCACCCACCCACCCACCCACACCATCTTCCATCCAACAATCACAAACTCACAAGAACACATAACCTAAAAACAAATTTTGATCTCCAACAGGAAGAACTTTTCCACCCATTTCCCAATCCTGGACAAAGGGGTTTCCCCCCATTTCTTCATTCTCCTGCCTCCTGCATCACAAGAAATAGAAGAAGAACAACAAGAAAGAATCATCAGAGCATTTTATGGTGACTAGTTACTGCAAATCTTGATTGGTTTCATAGCCCCAATGCCCGTGTGTGCAAGGCGTTTGTTGCAGAGATAAGCATCAGAAAAGGCACAAGATGGTTACGGAGGAGCGTGTGATTCAGAAGTCGTGGTCTTTCAACTTCAGGAAGATGTTTGAGCTCCCAGGGAGGAAATTGAGCGTGCATGGCTTAGATGGCGAGGAGGGAAGATCGGGCAGTCCAGTAGAGAATCAAAGCACAAGCGGGATTTCAAAAGCGTGGGAGAAAGTCCCTATTTCGCGGTTGGGGAAGTCAAGTAACCAGAAGGAGAAAGAGTGGGAGGAGAAAGAGAAAGAGAGAGATAGAGACATGCAGATGATGAGGGAAAAGTTTTCTAAGCTGCTTCTAGGAGAGGACATGTCTGGGGGAGGCAAAGGTGTTCCATCTGCTTTGGCTTTATCAAATGCCATCACAAATCTTGCTGGTAAAAAACCATTGTGTTTTCTGCATTTTCTGTCTTTTTTTGTAGATTCTTGATTTGTTTCCTCTCTGGTTTTCTATAGCTTCTGTTTTTGGAGAACAATCCAAGCTGGAGCCTATGTCTGCTGAGAGAAAAGCAAGATGGAGGAAGGAGATAGGTTGGCTTCTAAGTGTCACAGATTACATTGTTGAATTGGTTCCTTCTCAACAGAAAGCAAAAGACGGATCGACTTTCGAGGTAATGTGATTTCAAGAATCATAATTTGTATTGGTTTGAGATGCCCAGTTATGGACAACCTAAGCTGGTTTACCTCGTTCTGATCTTTTGACGGCTAGGGTCCTTCGCAACCTAAAAAGAATCATAATGTATTGGTTTGAGATGCCCAGACGCCCAGTTATGGGCAATCTAAGCTGGTTTACCTTGTTCTGATCTTTTGACGGCTAGGGTCCCTCGCCACCCAAAAAGAATCATAATGTGGTCTAATATCTTATCTCTAAATAACAGATAATGATGAGTCAACAAAGAAGAGATCTTCTGATGAACACACCTGCATTGAAGAAGCTTGATGCCATGCTCATTGTAAGAACCTGCAAATTCCCTGATGCAATATTGACATGTGGTGAACTGTTAGATTATATGATATATCATCCGAAAATTTGGGCAGGACTGCTTAGATGAATTCTCAGACCAGAATGAGTTCTGGTATGTCTCGAAAGACGCGGATGAATCAGAGAGAGGCGTCCAGAAGAGCGAGAAATGGTGGCTCCCCACGGTTAAGGTTCCACCGGGTGGCCTGTCAGATTCAGCAAGGAAATGCCTTCTGTACCAGAAAGAATGTGTAATCCAAGTCCTAAAAGCATCCATGGCCATAAATGCTCACATTTTGTCAGAGATGGAAATTCCAGAATCCTACATTGAAGCACTCCCAAAGGTGAGAGAGCTAAGAACACACTAGCTAGATAGCACTGCTGCATTCTTGAAAACCCGATCGATTTTGTTACCTGAATTGTGCAGAATGGCAGAGCAAGCCTTGGCGATTCACTCTACAAGAGCATAACTCTTGAGTATTTCGATCCTCATCAGTTCCTGTCAATGGTGGACCTGTCAACAGAACACAGTGTGCTTGATCTAAAGAACAGAATAGAGGCATCTATAGTGATATGGAAAAGGAAGATGAACCAGAAGGATGGGAAGTCATCTTGGGGTGTAAGCTTGGAGAAGAGAGAACAGTTTGAAGAAAGAGCAGAAACAATCTTGATCCTGCTAAAACACCGCTTCCCGGGGCTCCCTCAATCTTCCCTGGACATCAGCAAAATCCAGTTTAACAGAGTACAAACACACGAAACACTCCTTCATTTCCCATAAACACAACAAACTTTAACCTCACCTTGTTTTCCTTACACTTCAGGACGTGGGATACGCGATTCTGGAGTGCTACTCGAGGGTACTCGAGAGCCTGGCCAACACTGTCATGTCTCGCATTGAAGATGTCCTTTATGCAGATTCTCTCGCGCAGGCTCCACCCCTGGCAGCAGTTAAACGGAAACCACCATCACCTCCGGCCTCAATTGGGACAGGCAGCCCTGTGGACGAGACAGACAACATAGACACACCAAACTCAATGACATTATCTGACTTCATGGGATGGAATTTCGAGCCAGGACCAGGCGGGCCAGGAGCAGGAGAGCCAGGAATTCACTCCAAAGACAATTTAGATGTTAGCAACAAGCCAACTAGTGTCACCCCGAAGAAGTTTTCTTACCTAGAACAGATAGAAACCGGCCAAAGGAGTCCAACTGCACGCCATTAACAGCAAGCGTTAAAGGAAAATCAGAAGAAAAGCGAGGCACAGAGACAGAAAGAAGTACAGATCACACAGGAAAAGCTATAGCAGTAGACAGCTTAACTTACCAGCCATTTCAAGGAGTTTAATGGCTTTGTAGCTTTTGAATGCTCCTTTCCATTGTGGATAGAGAAGCTCAAGACAGTTTGTTAATGTTCTTCACTAATTTAACATGGTATTTGATAGCTCTTGAGATTAACATTACAACACATTTCTCTATCCTTTGCTCAACCGAATTATAGAATAACATGTGACAGAAATGTCTCCTAATTTTGTTTGGTAAAGACACAAGTAATAAGTACCTGTCTTTATAATGTCCAAAGTACTATATATACAACTATACAAGAGTAACCTCAGCCAAGATAATCCAGTTGTTGACCTTAGCCAAGATAGTTCAGTTGTTGACTTGGTAACCACAAGGGTTATAATTTAACTCGCAAAAGCAGTCTATGGGCCTTCTTAGTTTAAATCAGTTAACTATGAGCAACCTAAATTAATTTACCAGCTAGAATCATAAGGCAGGAATTACCCAGTGCACCTAGTATAGTGGCAGTAAATTTCCCTCTGTCACTCAAAATAAAAAATAAAAAAATATTGTATATACCAATGACACCATATTAAGGCTAATGAGCTAACAGGGTTGATAATATTAATAAGAAAAATTCCCTGTTAGGCGAAATGATTACATTCAAAATGATGTCTCCATGTGTCCATGGTGAAATTTTATTTGAATCCATTTCAAGCAGTATCAAAATACATAGAAAGTCAAGCTCAAAACTGAAAACTTATTGACAAAAGGCTTCTGTAAACTATAGATTTAGGCTAATTTGGTAACTGCTGCATGTATTGCTTCAGCAAGATGAGGAACTTTCTCAGAACTAAGCCCTGCCATGCTAATTCTCCTGCAAAATGATGAGAAAGAAAAGTGATATTAAATTTTCTGTACACAGATTTTGGCAGCAAAGGAAAATATATATATTTGGAGGGAAAGTAGAAAAAATGAACTGATTATAAACAAAAACAATAAAGTCATACACATTAAAATTTTCATATTCAAGCCCGTCTTGTGACCCTAGCCAGCAAAGGACCACACGGAAGTAAACCAGCCTAGGTTGCCCATAGCTGACCGGCTAAAACCAAGAAGGCCAATAAGCCACTACCGCTAGGAGTCAAACTTGTAAGTTGTAACCTTGTGGTTATTATGTCAACAACCTGACTAATTTGGTTGGGGTTGCTCCCCTAATTTGATCTTTGATATCATTGCAGATAGATGCTATATCGGTTGAAGGGTTATACTGCGCTTACCCATCAGCTGTCATGTAGATGTGATGCTTTCGGGTCATAAAGGCAACTTGCTCAGCATTCAATCCCGTGAAAGTAAACATTCCAATTTGTTTGATAATATGACTCCAGTCACCTGGTGTGCCTGCAAAAACAAGTAATATTCTCAGTGCATAGGTCAACTTGGACCGTAAATGAAGTGACCTAACTATACCAGTCCATGCAAAACTACATTATTGTTGGCTAGACATACAAGGAAGTAAGATATCATGCATCAAAGGGATCCAGCCACAGTCTAATTGTGTAATGGTGAGATTCAAATGCATTACGCGAAAGTAAAAAATTAGAATGGGTGACCACTGGATACCTTTAGCTAGTAAAGCCTCAAAAAGTTGTTTTCGCATGCTGATGATTCGATCAGCCATTGCTTTCAGTTCAACAGTCCATTCCTCAAACATTATCCTGAAAGCAAGAATTAAATATGCTTCGGGCCTTCTGTGAAAAGGATATATTATAATAGTGGAAATCACAGAAAATATCGAAAGGACCTGTCCTTGAGTATGGTAGCAACGATGGATGCACCATGAAGGGGCGGACTTGAGTACATAGGCCTGATGACTAGCTTCAATTGGCTTTCAACCCTGCTGGCTACTTCTGCATTTCTGCAAACCTGTAAATAAAATGTAATATGCTGATCGGCATAGCTTTCACTTATGAATCCTCTTTTCCATAATAACGTCCACTCCACAAAAACCCCACTAAGGTTGTGATATCAGCAATACTTTTTGTTCCCTCTTTTTGAAATACAGAGAAAAACCATTTCAAAACACAAACTAAGAAGGCATCTCAGATATCGCTTTAGGCCAACAGTTAAAGTCGCTTTAAACAGAACCAGATACTTACAATGCTAAGGGCACCGACACGTTCCCCATACAGTCCCATATTTTTTGCATAACTCTGTGCCATAAGCAATTCACCACCGTCTGCAACGAAAAGGCGAACAGACTTTGCATCTGCATCAAGATTGCCACTAGCAAAACCCTACAGTGTCAAAGGAGCATTCTTAAACATTTTATGCCAACTGAATATTCCCAACATAATCGCACATCACCATAACGTACCTGATAAGCACTGTCAAAGAAAGGTAACAACCCTTTGGATCGTATCAGCTCCCTGATTTTCCCCCACTGCTCAATAGTTGGGTCTACCCCTGTTGGGTTATGAGCACATGCATGGAGAAGGACTACTGCTCCAACTGGGGCAGCACTAAGATCATCTATCATTCCTGTATACATGTCAAAAGAGCATAGAATTTAGAAATTTCAATTCTTCTATGATCATATCTATGAGCATAAGTCCGGTACAACATAAGAAAAATAAATTGAAAAATGAAAGAAAAAGAATGTGGAGTATATTTTATGAAATACTGAACTTATGCTTACCCATTTTTCAAAAAAATAAAAAAATTGGTGGGGAATGTCATTTGGATCTAATAGAAGCCAATCTATACATTTATGATTAAATTGAAACTATTAGAACATTTAGGAAATTCTTAAATATAGCTTAAACTCTAGGACCAAAAATGAAATTTACTCTGCAATTAACTTATGAAGTTGTACATGTTTAACCAAACAAACAGGTGAAAAAAGTAAATACCCTGGAAATTCAAGCCCCGCGTTTCTGGGTTATAGTAGCGGTAGGTCTTCACTGTCAATCCAGATAACGTGAAAACCTTCGGATGATTTCCCCATGTTGGCAGAGGAATGTATATAGTATGCTGGAAATAAAGTAACCAAGTGAGTAGAACATTTCAACTATTACTAAATTTAGACAAATAGAAGAAACCAACATATATATATATATATATATATATATATATATATATATATATATACCTCATGATAGTGCCTAGCCAGGAACTCTCCACCAACCCTCAATGAACCAGTTCCAGACAAGCATTGGACAGTAGTCACCCTGCCCTCTTGAATGGCACGGCTGCGTCCAGCAAAGCAAAATAACGAATAAATTTAAAAGGAAGAAGGAGACAAATAGCACTGGAAGATGGCTGAATATGCCACCCCAACAAAATGTCTCAATCAGATTTCACAATTATTGACCTATTATGGTTCATACTTGTATCATACTATCAATTTTTTCTCGGGAAATTGATAGATGACTTCGAAACATTCAACACAGAATCTAGATTCAGCACATTCGTTACACGTAAGGTACACGTGACAGCTTGCATTTATATTACTCTGTATTTTTGCCAAAAAAAAAAAAAAAGACACATGCTCTTTGATTGAAGAATCTTTAAATGAAAGCAAGCAAAATTACATACCAATCAGCACCAAATATTAGCTTTGCACTCAGTTTGTTAAACTCCGTCAGTCCAGTGATGGGTAGATACTCTTTCACACGAGCCCTGTACCCTTACCAGTTAGCTACCAACCTTAACATACTCCATTATTATTACTATTATTTCAGATAACAGCCAAACAGGAGAGAACATAAATTAGAAACTCACTTATTGCTTACAAGGATTTCCTCAGCCCGCTTCACCACATTAAGAACAAGGGGCTTCCCTTCCTATTTTATCAAACCAAGTTTTACATCCAAAATCAAGAACCATTATGTTAATGTTAATTCACTACCATGACTGATTTCTCTATCTAACCTTAAAAATCAAACTTCTATAAGAGGATATAAGACAAATTAGTAAAGACGAACCTCAGTTCGATAAGCGCCAACGCCCAAATTCAGCTTTACTGGGCTAGGATCGCTGTTGTAAGCAACAGTGACCTATTTTGTCAAACACGAATCACAACAAAAAACATCAGAAACAAAACACCACAAATCAACCAACTATTATAAAAAAAAAAAAAAAAAAAAATCAATTGCATCCAAAGACATCTAAAAAGTCTAAAGCATCGCTCCCATCAAATCATTTTTGCTGATCAAACAAATGATCTTTTGAAGTATCATTTTAATTTTTAAACGATCATACATCCATGGATCATACAGAAAAGAAAAGGAAGAAAAACCATTTTATCTGATCAGATCACAGATATATAAAGATAAAAGCTTTATGCATAAACATTCATACCCCAAGGATTGGATCTTCATGGGCACGAGCAACATGGGAAAAGGCGGAATCAGAGGGAGCTGACATTTTCACAAGTAAATTTTTTATGATCAGAAAACTTGAGATGAATCGCTATATATAGAGGTAGAAGAAAGTATGTATAAAGTATATTCCAGTGAGAATTATTGTGAGTAGAATGGAGGATGCGTGAAAACTGAAAAAGTATAGTTAGCTCCTGAAAGAACAGTGGGCGGTTC